GAAGAATCTTTCTATAAGAAGACAAGGAAGTCAAAGATGAAAATGTTCTGACCATCTTGTAGAATCCTGGCCACTCCTGAAGGAACTGTTCAGTGATGAGAAGGACCCTAGCGATAGCTCCCCAGATGATCTCAGTAGCTCTCTGATCTCCTTCTTCATCAAGATCAGATGTGACACGGACAGAACTCTGTCATCTCAGGCTCGTTGATGTTCACTAGGGCCTTGAAGAACAAGTAGAAGATATTTGGATAGACAAATAAAATATTTATATTGATCAAGAAAACGCAGAAGATGGGTCAAATTGCGTCTGCCAAGTGAGTATATCAATATTAAACGATAACAATGTTGATTGTTGCTTGTATAGCACATAATCAATAATGTATAACTAAAGTATTGAGAAAATACGCTTAAAATGAATCTTGGCTTCTTGCAATTACGAAATTGTTAGGAACCCTCTGTAGAACAGCAGAATTATAATGGTATAGCTTAGCAGGGCTATATATCCATGTGTTGTTTGTGGGTTTTGGTTATTTTTCGTTTACTCATATTGTAATTTATGTTAGCTTTAATGTGTTGATTTTATATCAGTAATTTTTTTCTTCAGTCAGATCAATCAATTTAAACTAGAGACAACCAAGACATGCTAAAATGAAAGGAATTATTAGTCTTCTAGAGTCAGTCAAGAAATGACAAAAACTACGAAAGGGAAGGAGAATGGACAGAGAAATTACACTGGTTTTGAGGAACAAATTTGTAAATCGACAAGATTTTATTCAGAAAATATAAAGAAATTAATTGAAGTTTGGAATTAAAAAAAACAGCGGAACAAACAATTCCTGATTTGCCACAATCTATAGCACTTTCATCTGGCGTATAATTACATGTTTCTGTCATTTTATTTCAACATGCATGGTAATGGTGATGTAAATGGGTACCTGGCAGGAATTAATTCCTTAAAATGCTGGAGCGCTGTATAAACGGCAGCTAGTCTAAAGCCGGGGTAATAATAAATGCGCCTCGGAATAGAATTATCTAGATAGACGGCGCTATAGAAATGCCTATTATTATTATTATTACTATCTACAATATTTAATTTGGTTAATAATGTTCTTTGGATAATTCATTCATTATTCGAAAATAGCCAAAGTGTCCCAATCCTGATATAAAAAACGTTTACATCCCATTCATCCATCATTCGATTTCATAATTATGTTCAAAAAGTCTGATGATTGTTATATACGGTCATAATGTGCAAAATAATGACTTTTATATGAACACAAAACCGGAAATCGACTTAAAGAAGACCGTCCAGTCGAAATAAAACCGAAATAAATTAATCATGATTAATTCATCGCCTGCTCTCAGGTGGTTTGTCACGTGCAGATCTCACACATTGAATTTATGCTCTTTTAAATTCCTTTAGAACAGAAACCTTTTTATTTCAAGTGGTGCTCTTTGTCAATCGGAGACCATTAAAATGATTAAACGATATTGATTATTGATATTTTTCTTATACCAGAATACATTTATCATTATTTAATTACATTAGAACATCAAATGAAACTGATCCACCTTTGATAGATAAGGGTCTATAACGATATCTGTTTGCCCTTAACTACCTCGGCAGCATGATTACCGAGGATGCCAGATGCGAGACAGAGATCAAGAGAAGGATAGCTCTCGCTAAATCTGCATTTTCAAAGTTAGGCACAATTCTGACAAATCGAACACTGTGTATGAGAACCAGAATAAGGGTATTGAATTGTTACATCTACCCAGTACTTATGTATGGTAGTGGAACATGGACTTTAGCCTCTCATACTAAAAAGCGTTTGGAAAGTTGCGAAATGTGGTTTCTAAGAAGAATGATGAAAATCCCCTGGACTGACAAAGTTAGTAATGAGGAAGTTCTTACACGAGCAGGAGTGCAAAGGAAAATGATACGTGAGATGTTGATTAGGCAGTTGAAGTTCATGGGTCACATTACACGTAAAGAAGGCCTAGAGAATCTTGCTTTGACAGGGAAAATTGTGGGAAAAAGGAGTAGGGGAAGAAGGAGGATACTTTGGATAAACAGTCTGCAGAAATTGTTAGAAGAGAGAGGAGTGAAAGAACTGGGAGTGGTACTAATACAGAAGGCTAGGAGCCGAGAGTTGTGGAACAGCATGATCGCCAAAGTCAAACGATATGGCACTTAGAGAGAGAGAGAGAGAGAGAGAGAGAGAGAGAGAGAGAGTTTGCCCTTAAAACTTAAACAGCAGCAAAAAGATAGTGATCGACTTAAACCACTAGAAATGTGTCATTCCCTAATTATCACCGGGATGATGATTTGCTTGATTTTCGTAATTGACGTGAAAGAAATAAATCAACATGGAGTACGTTTACCCCAGTATTCCTGCCATGTTGGCAAATTGTGTACCGGGAAAGAATATCATTAAGGTGTTTATTTTTTGATGAAAAATTATACATAATGTGTGTTTAGTTTCATTTATAAATAATTTTAGATAATTTATAAACAAGTAAAATTGTCAACAGCGAAAGATAGTACAACTATTCTATTACTTAAATTACGTCTGAATTAGTTATGAGAGTGCGCATACAAATGATTAACTATGAGATTGGAAATTTCATAACGTTAAACATAATGTGCTTTTTAGTTTCATTTATGAATACTTGTTGGATCATTTATAAACATAAACATTTCAACGGTGAAAGATGGTGCAACTATTCTATTATCTAAATTATGTCTGAACTATTTTTGAGAGAACCCGTGGTATGATTAAATTTGTGATTGATTAAAAAATGACAAGCAATATAAAACAAACAAAAGCTGTAACCGTGATAATAGTCCGCCCTAGCTTGAAACACTCCTTCTGAGGTCCCTCGATAGCTCCTTAACTTACTAATCTATTTGTAATGATAGATGGTTGTTTCACTTTCGCCAGGCTTTGGAATTGCGCCCCACCCAGTTGATATCAACTACACCTGCTGATGTATGATAGGCAATCTCAAAGATTATTCGTCATTCGAGTAAGTTTTACGCGATAGATCTGTATCGACACTGAGACCCTCTGAGACTTTGCTGATCCGTTGACATTTCTTCGTATAGATATCGAAAAGTGAGTGATTTGTTGCTTTTCTCACTTTATATACTGCTAACTTTACTTGGTTCCGGTCAAAGTCATCAAATCAGCAATAAAAGTGCATTTACAGTTTTTGGCGCTCTTAATGAATATTTGTAACCGTTTCCGCTAATTTAACAAATTGAGTTAGATAAATTTTAATTTAAATGTTTATTGTTATAAAATATTATCGATTTACCTTTTGGTTTGTCTGAGAATTTTAGAGTGAATTCAGTTGGTCCCTTTCCTTTTTGCGTGTACTTCACAACCCAACCGGAGAATCCTTAATCCGCTTTTGTTATTTTACTTCAATTTAGTCATCATTTGAATATTTTTTTTACATTGAAGTGGCCTACTTCGTTCCAACGGTTCTTGGAGTCGGGTCGGTTCGGTTGTCGGTTTACACTATTTTCGTAAAAACGTGCTCCTATATTCACGAAAAGTCGGGTAAACTGAACGCAAAATAATCACATATTTGTGTAATTGGTCCTTGCAGAAGTAAAGCTAATATTTTACATGCACATTTGTGGAAACATGCAAACATGCAAACAGAAAATGACAAAGAGGCGATCGCTGGCCTTTTTACGAACTCTTGTGACTATTGATCTCGTATAAAAACTATCGTGTCGATGCGCGAGTTTTCGTAGATTCGCTTTAGGTTTTTTAGGAGGTGTCAGGTAAGCTGGACCCGAGACCTTGGCGATTAGAGGGGTGTATTTCACAACACTTTACACACAATCCTTCTTAAATTAAGGCCTGATTATATACAGAAATTCGTGTAACCCGAAGACGCGAAGCCCCAATGGAACGAAGTAACCTATTTGAAGTAATGTGAGTAATGTGCCGCGGGATTCCATATCCTCAAACTGCTGGCGAACAGAGCAACAAGACCAAGCTCTGTAATTATTAGGATCTCTGTCCAGTAGTGCCGTGTTTGTGCCATCGAACTGGATCGACCAAATCAATTGATTCATAATATATATATATATATATATATTATATATATATTTTTTCTGTAACATGAGAGTAATTGTAATAGTTTCATGCTATTAATTAAATGTAATGTTAACTGTTATTGTATAATAATAAATTGTTTTAAATGGGGGCACGCTACAAGAGTCCTATCTCGCACCCCGGGGCAACGTGTCTGACACGGCCGGTTGTAGCAACTACTCCGATGATCAAGATACATTAATCTTGATCTAAGGAGACACGAACGAACGAACCCAATTGAAGTAGATATATGTAAAGATAATGAATTTATTATTGTATTTCTGAATCTTAATCAAGTTAACTTGTTAATAATCAGTTGTTTCGGAAAATCGATAAGCTATAGGAACTTAATTGACGGCATTAAATATGGCGGGGCGGGGGTAACTAGACTGAGGAAAACCTATGATAATTCACTCCAAAGAAAAAATTCAGAGCATCTTTTTTTTCCCTAAATTTTTTATTTTTTTAAATTCTTTTAAATTGATAACACTGTGTAAATGAGAAAGTAAATCGAGGAAAGCACTAACATGACAAATTACTTTGTTTCTATTCATTCTGTTCTGTTTTGTCGTTGCTGAACAAATGTGTTTTTACTACTATTTATCATTGTGCATAATAGTGCATTGAAGGCAATAACAAGTTCCAGGTTTAAATGAAAATTGTGGCCTAGGAAGTTAATGTATATATAGCCATCCTTCCCCAAGTATCAATATAGGAACACCACACGAGATATTTTTGTGTTCAGTTTTGGTGTTTCACAACTCGTCTTGTATTTCTATCTTCAAGCGCAATCATGTCACTTGAATTTGAATAATATCAAATCTGGGATTAACAATTATAAGGTTCGTTTCACTTTCCCTCATAATTTCAGCTCTTTTGACCAACATGGCTGAAACAAGATTGATCCAGCTTACGGTTGTTTTATATCTGACCATCTTGACAGCTACAGAAGATTCATTCCAGCATGTTGAACTCACAAGTAACCGTCCTAACTGTCGGTCTGGTCCGTTTCATAGACAAATCTCCTGCCAGAAAATGGGACTCTTTCAGGTTCCACGAAACTTGTTTCCAGGTGTAGAAGAACTTGACCTTTCCTCTAATTTAATCGTTCGTCTTTTTAATGCGTCATTTAGTTCATACCAACGTCTAACGAGCTTGTCACTATTTAACAATTATATACAACACATCTCTAATGCAACCTTTCATCCATTGTCAGAACTAGTTAGTCTGAAACTGGGTAAAAATGCTCTTTTACCAACCATCACATCTTATATGTTCATAAATTGTACAAAATTATCTTATCTAGGTTTTAAAGGGCCTTCGTTATATACCATTCCCGGCAACATGTTGAAATGGCTCCCTAATCTACGACTGCTTGATCTACGTGTCTCTCGAATTCGCCGTATCAACATAACTTCTTGTTGTTCAGGAGTTCCTAAACTGACAATACATCTACGGTTGAGTAAAATCATGGCAATAACACCAGATACATTCAGAATTGACTGCAAAATACATCGATTTGACCTCAGCTTACTTACACTGTTCATGACTGATCAGCACTCTATCTCATCCATACGCTCATCATCTCTGGTCTTCGATCAAATGGGTATGTCGCCAGGTCTGTGGGGACCATTCTTCAAAGGTATATCACATTCTGAAATCAAGGAGCTTTCGTTACAACACAATTTTTTAATAGGGGTCGATTGGCATTACTTTGCGCTTTTGCAAAGCAAATGGCTGAAGGTTCTGGACCTTTCACGTAACAACCTGTCCAACGTCACCAAATTGGGATACTTAGATTTACCTTTAGTTGCTACTCTTGTTCTAGTTGATTGTTCTATTAATGACATAAAGCCGATATATTTTTCCCGCATGAAAGGCTTACGGCTTCTGGATCTGGGTTTAAATAAAATCAGGGATATTAATGCAGTTAGCAATACATGGGATTTAAACGTGCAAAAAATGGACCTCCAAAAAAACAACGTGTTTACTATTCACGCAAGCTCATTTAAAGGATTGAAACATTTGACACATTTGAACTTGAGGGGAAATGTTGATTTACAAGTTATCAACATAACAGCTTTTACAGATTTAATTAGCCTCCGGTACTTGGATTTATCGGGATGTTATTTACGAGATGTATCAGTGTATTTTCCTAAACTGGAAACTTTCATCTATAGCGATTGTACGGAGCCTTACAACTTGCTGGTATTCCGACTAATTTTCTTAGAAACCGGGTCCATTAAACATTTATTTATGAGAAATGCTAGCATAAAAAAATTATGGGCGCCGTACTCGGGCAATACTATCTCTCTGTTTGAAGGAATGCGAAATCTAACAAACATTGATTTAAATGGAAATCCAATCGTGCGACTACAGTCAGGGTTATTCTTAGATCTCTTGTTTCTCGAAGAACTAAATTTGGGCGAATGTCAACTCGTAGAGATTGAAGCAAAAGCATTCGAAGGTCTTCAAAGTATAAAGACTTTGTACTTACAAAAAAATGCATTACAAATTTTTCCATGCGAAGTATTCCAGAGTGTGGGGCAATTATGGACTATTCATCTAGATGGCAACAAATTACATTATCTCGATAGAGACCTACATGTATTTGCCAATTCTACAAAACTTCAAAATCTGACTCTTGCTGATAACAGCCTGACTACGTTCAACCATAGCACATTTGAACCGATTCTTAACACGCTAAAATTTATTAACATTTCTGACAACGAATTAGGTTGTACCTGTGAATTAAAATGGCTCCCTATATGGCTTAGAGGGTCCATCACGCTACTGAATGAAAACGACACAATTAAGGTGCTCACCTGTCTCAATAGAGGCACTGCGAGAAAAGCCACTGATGTCATTCGACCCAGCAAAATTATGTGGTCTAAATATGGCTCTGTACTGCACATTTCCTCTTGTAATTGCTTGGATTCTCGTGGTTTTGATTGTTGCCTATCGTTATCGCTGGTTCTTGAAATACAAACTATTTCTCCTGGAATTGGCTATCATAGGTTATCGGGAGATCCAAGACGCTCGAGAATTTGACGATTATGAATTTCATTTTAACGTCATGTTTGCAGAGGAGGACGAAGAGGGGTTCAGAGATCGCTTCCGTCCAGCCTTAGAAGAACTGCTTCCGGAATACGAGAGGAATCTCTATGGTGATAATGACCTTCCGTTGGGTATGCATTACTATGATGCAGTTCATTACGTCGTTGAGAAGAGCTACAAGACCATCGTGTTGGTCAGTAGGGCCGCTATCCAGGATAACTGGTTCGTCATCAAGTTTCGAACCGCTGCGGATCAGGTCAATGACACACACATAGAGAACATGGTGGTGATCTTCCTGGAGGACATTCCAGATGATGAGCTTCCATTCTTGGTGAGGCTGTACCTGAGTGATCGTAAACCATACCTCAGCTGGGAGGAGGAGGAGGGATTTCAAGAGTACTTCTGGCAAAAATTGACCAAGATGTTGAAGATAAATCTGAGATGCAACAATGTCATCCCTCCCGAGTAACAGCATTGAAATACAGATGTCCTGCGTATTTCATTAGAATATAAGAGATGGTTTCTTTTTCCGAAATGAAAATAAAAAAAGATCCGTGGCTTCCAGAAGAATCCAGTGGTTTGAAATTCAGTTGGAGTGTGTAGTGTGTTTGGAGGGATGAACCCTATATGTTCCTTTAAAATATCTTTGTTCGGAAATAGTGATTCTTCTAATCCTAGTTTCCGAAGAGCTGTCTATAGCACTATGAAAACGATGCATTAAGTTGACCGTTCGGCCGTTGCGTTCAATCAATCAATACATAATGTTTAATGTCAAATTCTTCCAGCATGTCAGAACGTAGAGAAAGGAAATCGCAGAATAGCATGATGACACCTATCTTATTAGGTCTGGAAGGTTTTTTTCAGTATTTGTCAAGTATTTTAGTATTTTGTGCATCGGTTAAGGAAGTGTCTATAGAGTTTTTAATACCAAATACCACTCTTCTCTTGTGTATTTATGTGCATTTTATTGATCATGAGAGAAGATTATTTTTAGGGCATCTGTGGTGACGCATTTTGTAGATTTTTTTTATTGATTTAGAAGATATAATTGCAGTGCAAAATGTTGTATGAACACCACTGTTATGGTAAATAAGTATTCATGTAAAAGTCATGTAGCGAGTCCTGTAGTAATTATGTAATCACTTTGTAATAATCATGTAATACACATGTAATAATGATCTTATATGGTAAATCCATTAAGTCAGTCATGAAAATAACATTCTTTCCATGTTTGTATCTAATCATTGCATACTGAGTATCGGATATGAATACAAGACAACGTGAAAGTGTAGATGAAAGTGAAAGTGTAAATAGTTGTCTGTAAATGTCGCACTGTAAAATTGAGTCGAAATTTAAAGGTAAGCATTGACATTCCCAATCTCTTTCGTTCTTTATGGGTTATTAATTAAATGTTAATATTCCAAGAATATAATTTAGTTGTCATAACCATACAGGAATTATTTATAATTTGTCAGCATCCTATTGTATGATTATATATCTAATCGTATATTGTGATATAATTAATAATATAAAGTAATTTGTACATGATCCATGATGTCAATACATGACAGTTATGAATACCACCATATTTTAACGTTATTATAACGTTATTATATCCGTTTTATGATCATACGGACATTGGACATGTTATATCATATTTTGATGACTAAATGAAGCTATGAAGTATTTTTTTCTTCAGTTATTCTATAACTCTACTGTTGACATAGGAAAATGAGATATACCATCAATGTTTGTCTATAATCAAGAGAAGTACGTTATACTTTTGTAAACATATTGGGCTCATGTAAACACAATATTCACTAACCTAATTATCGATATAATAATGTCTTGCATAGCCTTAAATGCACAGAGGACTGCTAAAATTGAAAAACCCTGTTTATCTGTATTGTGTTATATGCTCTACAAAAAGGCGAATTTCGTTCCTTGTAGTTTGTGCACTCTCTTTTCAATCGATTAAATATCGCATATTGATGTAATTATGATAATTATTATAAAAAACACCTTTAGATGAATCAAAACGATTTGCATGATCCCTCTATTCTATTCTATTAGTGTTATTTATAAGCTAAATAGCTACAATAATTGAAGGATGAAAGAAAGCAAGCGTCATTGTTGCTAGATAGACTCGCAAATATTATAAAGGCAACTATAGCTGGAATGCTCCCCCATGTCCCATGTCAGTGGCGGATCCAGGGGGGCCGGGGGCCCGACCCCCCCCCCCCCTGGGAAAAAAAAAGAAGGAAAAAAAAGAAGGAAAAAAAAAAGGGGGGGGGAAAAGGAAAAAAAGAAGTAAAAAAAAAGGGGGAAAAAAAAGAGAAAAAAGGAGAAAGAGAGAGAGAGAGAGAGAGAGAGAAGAAAAGGACGGGAAAAAAAGGAAAAAAAAAGAAGAAAAAAAAAAAGGGGGAAAAGGAAAAAAAGAAAAGAAAAGAAAAGGAAAAAAGGAGAGCTAAAAGGGAACGAAAAAGAGGAAGAAGTAAAAAAAAGTGTGAAAAGAAGATTTGCGGTTAATCCCGCCAACAACGTGGAGAAGGGTGGGGGCCGAAAGGACCTTGCCTCCCCCCCCCCCCACCCCCCAGCAAACCTAAAAGAGAGAGAAGGAAGGGAAGGGAAAAAGGAGAGAAAGGGAATGAAAAAAAGAGAAAGAAGAGAGGTAGAGGAGATCAGTTGCGATTTTTCCGCCAACAAAGTGTAGATCAGGGGAGGCGGGGCACTGGCGTAATTTTCAGAGATTTTTCCTTATTTTTTAGTAAATTATGCTTTTTATTTGTTTGTTGTAAAATGACAAATTCCTAAATTTACAGCCAGGCAAGAAATATGCTTCTTGAGATGCCTACATGTCTGGCCCAGCCAGGGGCGTCGCCAGAGGGGGTGTGTGTGTGTGTGTGTGGGGGGGGGGGGTGCGACACCCCCAACCTGTCAGGATATTGTCGGTAAAATTGCGCTGCCGTCGGGGAAAAGAGAAAAGGGGGAGGGGGAAAAGAGAGGGAAAAAGAAGAGAGGGAAAAAAAGAGAAGGAAAGAAAAGAAAAAAGAAAAGGAAAAGAAAAGAAAGAAAGGAAAAGAAAGGAAAAGAAAGGAAAGAAAGGAAAAGAAAGGAAGGAAAAGAGAAGAAAGAAAGAGAAAAAAGAAAAAGAGGGAGGGGAGGAAAGAAAGAAAAAGAAAACAGAAGAAAAAAAGAGTAAAAGGTAAACAAAAGAAACGGGGGATGAAAGAGAGGACAGAGAGGGGAGGTAAGAGTCTGAAAGAGGAGGAGTAGGAGTAAAAGAGAGAAGGGGTTGTTGGGTGGAGTCGTCTCGTCGAGGGAGCTAGAAAGACACGGGTAAATATGTTGCTGTGTCGGGTCAGATCTGTCGGTATTCTTGCTCGATCCTCGTGTACTATATCAATGCAGACGTTTGAAGTCGGTGAGATGTATATTGTCAGTCGTCCGACAAGTTTTTATCCTACGAACTGTGACTTCTTATCCGCTGTGACGACTTCGAGAGTGACTACAACTACAATACTTGTATTTTCTCGAAATTTCACTTTCCTATAATATCAGCTAAAGAAATCAGAGGTTTAAAATTTTCGGGTAGACTAAATTCAAACAAGGTTAAAGATTCAACAACGGTACGACGAATCGTCTTCCTTTCTTTATATGTGATGAAACGCCAAAATTCCGCGCTTTGCGCGGAAGGGGAAACTTCATTTAGACGAGTCGAGAACGGTACAATGAATCGTCTTCTTTCCCTAATAATTTGAGGAAACGTCAAAGAGGGGGAAACTGAATTCAGATGAATAGGGCTTAATAAGATTCGAAAACGGTACGAGGAATCGTCTTCCTTTCTCTATAATGTGATGAAACGCCAAAAATTCCGCGCTTCGCGCGGAAGGGAAAACTTCATTTAGACGAGTCGAGAACGGTACACGAATTGTATTCTTTCTCTAATGATTTAAGGAAACGTCAAAGCTTTCGCGCTTCGCGCGAGAGGGGGAAACTGAATTCAGACAAAATTAATAGGGCTTATTAAGATTCGAAAACGGTACGGGGAATCGTCTTTCTTTCTATAATTGTGAACGAACGCCAAAAATTCTGCACTTCGCGCGGAAGGGAAACTTTATTTAGACGAGTCGAGAACGGTACAACGAATCGTCTTCTTTCTCTAATAATTTAAGCCGTCAAAGCTTTCGCGCTTCACGCGAGAGGGGGAAACTGAATTCAGATGATTAGGGCTTAATAAGAGTTAAAAACATAAACGATGAATCGTCTTCCTTTCTCTATATTGTGATGAAACGCCAAAAATTCCGAGCTTCGCGCGGGAGTGGAAAACTTCATTTAGACGAGTCGAGAACGGTACAACGAATCCTCTTCTTTCTCTAATAGTTTAAGGAAACGTCCAAACTTTCGCGCTTCGCGCGAGAGGGGAAACTGAATTCAGACAAAATTAATAGGGCTTATTTAGAGTCGAAAACGGTACAACGAATCGTGTTCTTTCTCTTATAATATGAGGAAACGTCAAAGCTTTCGCGCTTCGCGGGAGAGGGGAAACTGAATTCAGATGAATGGGGCTTATTAAGAGTCGAAAACGGTACGACGAATCGTCTTCTTTCTCTAATAATTTAATGTAAACGTCAAAACTTCTGCGCTTCGCGCGGGAGGGAAAAGCTTCATTCATATAAGGATTAAGAGTCGAGAACAGTACACCGAATCGTCTGCTTTTTCTCATAATTTAATGAAACGTCAAAGCTTCCCGCGCAAAAGCGCGGGAGGTTTTTTTTTTTTTTTTTTTTTTTTGGGGGGGGGGGGGGGAACTGAATTCAGAAAAGGATAAACAGTCGAGAACGGTACAGAAAATCGTCCTCTTTTTTTTAATAATAATTTAATGAAGCGTCAAAGCTTTCGCGCTTCGCGCGGAGAGGGGGGGGGGGGGAACTTCATTCAGCCAAGAATTACCAGTCGAAAACAGTACAATTCGTCACCTTTCACGAAGTGGCATCAGTGGCCAAAATCGTTGAATTTTTAATTTCGAGTTTTGACCGTTTTGAGCAATGTATATAAATGTCTACAACTTCAGTAATTTTCAAAGTCTAATCTTGCTTATTACGTCATACGTGACGTCACGAAACGTATCACAAGCGGTACAACTGGCAAACACCGTTTTCACGAAGTGGCCTCTTACGCGCAAATGTAGTCTGCTATTGATAATCGTACACGAACCGGCTCCGCGAAGCCTTTGTCACAGATGCCGGTGCTTCTGGCGGAATTGTTAGAGGAATCTGACAGCCCTAGGTAATTATTTTCACTTATTTTAAAACAATGTTATGCATCGTTCAATAATATCGTCTGTAGCAGATAAACAAACTCATATTCTAAACGGATATCAAGTTACGAAATGGCGAGATAGGTCATTACAGTCCCACGCACTGTTTTCTGCGTGAGTTGTATTGTCGGTCTAGTATGCAGATCTAGTAGTACGTAGTACTCGCCTACTTCTATACTAGTACTATCAACAGAGTGCTACTAAGTATTAAGTAACACAGTATCTTAGATAAGCTTGAACATGTATAAGTGCAGGAGCAGTTACATGCAATAACAACAATGTCACGAGTCACAAGGGCAAGGCGATTCGCTGAAGAGTGAAGCCCATGCCAGGGCCGGGCAGGGGAGATATCATTAATAATAATTTTACATTAACTATGTTAACTGATTAAGCAGTACCAGACCAAGCCTCCAAGGCAAGGCCCAATTAGCCAAGGGCACATTTTGGTTAAAATTCAATGTCAATGTTGATATGACAATGCCAAATCATAAAATGGCAAATGCGACGTAGGAGTTGAGTCTAGGCTCGAGCGCGAGCCTAGAGTCTAGATCTACTACGTTAGTACTTACGTACTCCTAGTACTAGATTTAAATGTTACATGACCCCTCGTAAGCTCTTTCCATGTTCATGTTATAAATACGAGACTGAGACTTGCATAGTAAAGCCAGGTATGCTTGAATGAATAAACAATTTTGTGCTTGCTAATAATTTAAAGGGAAATCCAACCATGAGAATTGAGATGAAGTGGCTTAATTTCAGCAAATGCAGAAAAATGAAGCAAATACATTTCATGTTTCTTCCGGTTTTACCAGTAGAATAGCCGGCTGAGAGGACCATCACTAGCACTCCCAGGCCCAGTGGCTGATGTCTAAGTAGGAGTTTGACGTGGAGAGCTTTTAGCATGTTGTTGAGGTACTAATGGATGGGGGGGGGGGGGGGGGGGTCAACCTAGCATAGGCTGGAGCGGCTTCTTATACACTCGGCTTTATGCTCATAAACGCATGCCTGCTCTTAATAATTGCTTTAAAGACAAAGATAAAGCTGATGGTATGGGAAGACGTCCACTACAAATTCCCCCTCTTTATTGTGCATGATATTTTCATTTTGCCACCAAAGTTGTGGTTGAGCTACTTAAGGTGTACCTTTTGCCTTGGACTTAGAGGATGACAGGCTTTTGTTTGTTGGGGGGGGGGGGGGGGGGTTGCTTATAATAATAGTACTACCGTAGTTGCTTCTGGTATAGCGCACATGTCCGTCACGTTGTGAGGGGGGGGGGGGGAAGTTAGCACTAATTTGGGTTGTTTCATCCCATGTTTGCAAGACTGAGACTTAATTATGCAAGGTCTTCTTAATTGCTTTAGATAATGATGTGCTTGCTAATAAGTTAAAGGGATATCCAACCGTGAGATGAAGTGGCTTGTTTGAACAAATGCAGAAAAAATTAAACAAATACTTTTCATATTTTTTCATAGTTTACCAGTAGAATAGACAGCTGGGATACGCAAGAGATGAGGGACCACTAGCACCCCAGTGGTTGATGTCCATGTAGGAGTTTGTGCAGCTGATGTGGAGAGCTTTTAGCAAATTGAACAAGGTATGTGTGGTAAGTAAATTAGCTCCAAAAGAAAAGTTATAGATTGGGAGTTGGGCTGGCGAGGGGGAGGGGTCAATCTAAGCAAACAAATGAACTATTTTCATTTACATAACAATGATCCATGGACAAAACTATGCTGGGAAGTAATTTTCTAATGTGCGCAAAGTGGTGGGGGTGCTAGGAGGGCCCTCCAAAGATGACGGTTTCCCAAACACTCAATTTTTTTCATAAACGCATGACTGATCTTGCTTTGAAAGGTTTAGGCAGTTGATGGTATTGTAAGGCATCAAAACACAAGTTCCTCGCTCTTAATGTGCGTGACAGACATTCATGTGGCCAACATGTCATGTTTGAGCTACTTATGGTGGTATCAACTTATAAGATGACAGGCTTCATCTTATATTTTGTATTTTTCTTATTGTCTTTTTTTCATAGGGGGAAGGGGGTGAAGAAGGAGAGTTACACTAATTTGTGTTGTTTCATCACAGAAAAAATAAAATAATATGCATTAACCTGATACTGTAATTTTTGAAGAGATGCGATTTTAAAAATATCATCCCAGTATAGCTTCCTGTACGAGCTGTGTTGGGGGTTTCTGCATCCATCATGAGTTATCAAATATATTCTCCTTTTAACCCAGGCATCTTCACCCTCTGCCCTTGAACTGATTGCTTTTCAATACCACGGTTGGAGGTCAGACCAAACGACTCACTGACCCGACCGACGACAGAATAGCTAAGTCCCCCAGTCATCAAAGGTAAGTTTTAACCTAATTGTTACATTTTATAGTGTTTATATATGAAATATTTATAATTTTGACTGGCTTTAATGGGAATGGAAACTATATTGCCCAAATACAATCATATTGGCCGGGTCGAAGACGAGGGCAATATGGTTATGTTGAGGGCAATATTGTCTCATATCAACCAAAATGTGAGCCAGTCAATGTTATTATTATCAATTATCCTCTTCTTATATTTCAAGTATCACTATACATGTATCATGTACAAGTACCCAGATGTGAAACGTATGAAAATATGCTCTTATATTACCCGCTGCTACATCACGCGTGTCTTTATACGATAATTGCACCATAAATAATAATGAATGATATTATACGCTTGACTAACTTTGAAATTGATCCTTATTGAGTGGTTCTTTCTGAAAGTTGATATACGGTAATAAAGTTTCTTTCAATCTGGCAGACAAGTACATGCAAGTGCATTCATTGTTACTTACTGGTTTATAACATCATCACAAAATTGCTGATAACCTGCAGATTTATATCTTCTTTAGATAAACATATCAATTCAATGATTGACAACAAACCCAGTAATACATATGGAACCTATCATATCATCTTCAGTGGTTGATAAATACTGTATAGATGCCGCTACATTTTTATTGAAATGGAATACAATAGTACCATACAGACCATGGAGTATGTGTCACCAATTTTTTAAACAATATACAATCCTCCCAACTAAAAGTGTGAAACAGGAAAGCCATTCATATTTTGAAATAGGAGTTATACCACTCTGATTTCCTACCAGGAATTTAGTGCCACAATGTCACAAATTGCATTCTAAGTGAATAAATGGTGCAACAGTATTTATAAAACCAATTGCAAATCTGCTTTTCACTCGGGCATGCTTCACTTTTTTCTGTTAAAAAGTAGACCTTAAATTCATATCTGATTTTCATTTATAGTTACTGTATATTTCAAAATATCAATTTAGGACAGAGTAAAACCACTTTTTATTTAATACCCGTTTCTAGGTTTCATCTGTTTTATGAAATAAAATTACTATGTCCTCTCTACTTATCATTGAACAGAGTTATTGATAACTTGATTGTAACAATCTTTGTCAATTACCTCTTAGATGGACAAAAATACAGAAGTATTGTTAGGTGGGATCGTGATGGAGAGATAATGTGGCAAGAAACGAGATCTTCGATATAACGGAAGGCTTCGGGTGGGTTCAAGAGTCACTATGAGCTAGATGGATGTGGACTGGACGGGGACTGCAACGCTGACAGGAGACTCTGACTCCGAATGTGCCTCCATTTAGAGGTTTTGTGGTCTAGTGGATAAGTCGTTGGACTGTGGATCACAGGATCCATGGTTCAAGTCCTGCCACAGCAGTAATGTCTTTTGGCAAGATATTAATCTAATTTGCCACTCTGCTGTGAGCACTGAAAGCGGCTGCCTAGCAGAGCCAGGGTAATAGTTGGAGCGCCTTGAGCATATTGTTATTATTATTTTGACAGTGACAACCTCCTCCTTCCTCACTAAGAACAGCACAGACTAAGGTCATCCATCATATGAAAGTTGCATGTAAGAAGTTTTAATCCCATAAACTTACAGTGTTGTATGTTTTTAGAAGGATTTGGCATGTAGGACTAATATTAATTGCTAATAGTTTATATTTCAAAGGGCAATCCAACCTCTGTAACAAGTTGATTTATGTTAAAGCAGAACAAAATGAGTGTAATAGACTGGTAAAAGTTTGAAAGAAATCAGACATAGAATAAGAAATAATGGTTGAAAAGTTAGATTACAACATCTATGTAAATCTCAGATCTGCAATTTTATGAGGCAACAGGGACGTATGCAGCTGACAACTTTGTATGTCATACACACAACATATAAATAATTAATGATTTTCTTTTAAGCTCCTCTTCCATTGTGGCAGTACTCAAACTATATTGTAACCTCCCTCCCTAATCAGTGGCCTTGTGAATTTGCATTTCAGAATTTTCCAAGAACACCGGTACCCCCTTCTTTATAGAGCTACCATGTTGTATTTTTTTGCCATGAGTGTGGGCTACAGTTAAATAAGTTGCAATTTTGATATTCAAACATGATTCATTACACCGAGTGTTGGCTCAGTCAGTAGAGCGTCCGCCTCACAACCGGGAGGTCGTGGGTTCGAATCCCGGCGCGTCATACAAAAGACGTTAAAAGATGGGAGTTGTTGCTACCTTGTTTGGCGTTCAACAATAAGGGATAGAGCAACGTCGATCTGGCGCTGCTCAGTGGCTGCCGGGCTCACGATCAATTGGGCAAAAAGAATTTCCGTTTCGATTTAATAAAATTTTGAGTGAACTATTAGGCTATTATTATTATTATTTATTATTATGATTTATCAATTTTTAATGATTGTACATGTAATTGTGAAATGAACTGTACAAAACGATTCCAGTTACTGTATATTGCAAAGAAATAAATGCAGTCATAATCAAGATGAAAGTATTAATCTTAAGATTTGATTGCTTTGTGCTATTCAACGTTTATTCTTATTTAGTTAGATTTGTTATAGGAGAAATGTGTTCTGAGAGAGTAATGTACTAAAATGATAATGACTTATGTGACAACAAAGAGGGGTAATAAAACGATAAAGATAAAGAGAGAGAAAGAAAGAGAAGGAGGGGATGTTCTTGTTTGCATGAGAGAGCTAGAGAGGAGAGAGAGAGAGAGAGAGAGAGAGAGAGAGCAAGAAGAATGAGAAGAAGTTGTACATAGTGCTTGGTGCGCCCCCCCCCCACCCCCCAAAAAAAAGTATACAAATATGCTATTGATCATTGACAAAAATATTCAATTAAACTTAATCACACATGAAGCAGGACAGTATATACAATTTCCATAACAGGCATTCAGAGTCACTAACAAATTATTGCATTTCCTGCATTATGTGAAGGATTCAAGATGAATTCTGGATGGGGCAGAGTGTGATGCGAGTTTAACATTGAATATAGTGCTGTGATTTCGAGGAAACAGAATTAGCTAGGTATGACAAAATTATAGTTTTATGGGTGGGGAGGGGGGGGGGGGGTGGGGGAGGGGGGTGGGTAGCAAATGGGCATTGCTTTGCACAGCGCGCACGTCAACTGGGACGGTTCGTAAAAACGAAATTTCACATAACCAACAGGGGAAACGGGGCCGCGTAAGCTGCGGGCCACTACGTGAAGACGAGCCAAGCGTGGATGTCAAGTTTTTCGTTTTCACGAACGTCCTCTGACTGTCCTCTGTGATTGAGGTCTAATTATTGTTAAATAAACATATTTCACGTAAAACTTATATCATTTCATTCTGTAGATAGTGTACTATCAAGATATCCAAAAAAATGAATACCATCACATACTTTTTCCCGTAAAAACAGCGATTGTAAAAAAGTGAAACTTTAACGCGTTTATCTCAAAATTGTTTCTGTACGCTAAAACGCTCTGGGGACACTTCGTGAAAACGGTGACGAATTAATCGTCTTCTTTTCCTAATAATTGAAGAAAAATATTGGTATATTATGTCGTCGAGGAAAATGACCATTTGCGCATAATTATGCAAGTACGATATAGTCCCGTATCAGGACAATTACCCCTGGGCAATCACCCCCCGGAAAATTACCCCCGGAAAAACGACCCCCAAGGACAATTACCCCTGGAAAATTACCCCCGGAGAATTACCCCGAGGACAATTACCCCCCCATGGACAATTACCCCCCGGAAAATTACCCCCCGGAGAATTACCCCCCGAGGACAATTACCCCCAAGGACAATTACCCCCCGGAAATTTACCCCCCGGAAAAATACCCCCGAGGACAACTAACCCCCGCCGGACACAATACCCCCGAGGACAACTACCCCCCGGAAAACTACCCCCCCGAGGACAACTACCCCCCGAAGACAACTACCCCCGAGAACAACTACCCCAGGACAATTACCCCCCATGGACAACTACCCCCGAGGACAATTACCCCCGAGGACAACTACCCCCCGGAAAACTACCCCCCGAGGACAAACTACCCCCCCCCCCCGAGGACAATTACCCCCCCTCGAAACACCATTACCTCCGAGGACAATCACACCCAGGGAATTTGCAACACTGTGACGTATAATGCGAGCTCCGCTTCAAATTGCTATTTAGAGAAAATGTCATGAACTTTCATTTTCTTAGTTATTTATGACGGCATAGATTTGTTTCGTACGGGT